CTATAAAAGGAAAGTTGGAACTTACAACACACGAAGAGTTATAGTAAGGCCATATAAGCCCCTTTTCCTCGATCTGCACTCGGTTCAAGACTTACTACGGCTTTTAATTTGGATGTTTGCGCGGAAAGTTTGCTCAAGTTCTAAGTTGTTCTCTCAAATTTTCGGGTTTCCCACACTCATTCAAAACGTTCTCAATCTTTAGGTATATCGCAATCGAAAATGGGGAGTAATTTCCAGCGAGAAGATAGTCGCCGGCGACATTGTTTCTATAACGCAGTCGTTTTCCGATAAGCTCATCCCCTGCGATCTTCTCCTTCTACGAGGAAGCTGCATCGTCGACGAGTCAATGCTAACGGGTGAATCGATCCCCGTAACCAAGGTAATTTTTTCATCATTTCAGCAGAGTTGCAAGCCCCTCTTCTAAATGTTGAAACTATGACCATCCTAACACCTGTTTCAGTAGAATATCAAACATCCATTTTTTGCCAAAGATTTTTCACTACAATTTTTCTATTTAAGGAATCGTGTGAGAATATTACGGATGAAGATGTAGTGGAATTTGGTGACGCCGACAAAGTTCACGTACTTTTTGGCGGAACCAAAATCGTTCAGTTAACGCCACCAGCTAAATCTGATGGCATCCCTAAAGGTAATTTTCAACCTTGAGGACTTTCCCTCCACGTTGTGCTTTTTGTCTAAAGATTATTTCTCTTCAGCTCCAGATAGTGGTTGTACTTGCTTTGTCTTGCGGACTGGTCTCAGTACGTGCCAGGGAAGTCTGTTAAAAACAATTATGTACAGCGTCAAAGCAGTTACGGCCAATAATCTGGAAACACTGCTCTTCATCGCATTCCTTCTGGTATTTGCCCTTGCTGCATCAACATACGTCTGGATAGAAGGTATTCCATTTAAGTGCCCATAATTTTTGTAAGCTTTTTCATTATTTTTCAGTGGTGTCTGACATGCATAAAACGAATGGGATCTTAAAGCACGTTTTATGTAAACCTTTTATCAGCGAATGCTTCATATGAGCGTTTATATGCACAATTTCTTTAAGGTATCTACAAATCTCTCATGCCACTTGATGTCTTTAGAATTTTGCGAGACGCTGGATTCATTATTTTGTCCCATTAAGTAAAAATGGAGTCTTCTGAGCAGCCTCCCCAATCATTGATTTCCCGAGACTTTTGCATCAAAAACATTTTTTAAAATCACTATGAAAATGATTGCGAAAGTTTCCGCAGAGGTTTCTTCTTGAATAACACTCCCGGAGTAACTGCGGGCTTTCTCAAACTTATAATCGTTCATCAGAGACGCAGTTGGCCATGCCTGAAATAAATCTTAAGTCTTTGGAAGGATACCTACAAGTTTCCTTGTTCGCTTGGTCTTCAATTACTTCAAGACTCTTAGTCGCCATAGGAAACGAGTCCCATGCAGTAGAAAACCACGGTGAACTACGGCGTCTCCACTAAATAGACGAAATCAGGAAACATCTGGGCATTTCTATAGTTTATATTTTCATCGGTTGCACGCCAACTCGAGAATTTCATGCAGCAATGAAATTTATTTCACCCAACTGGACCAATTTAAACTGGAACCACAATAGTACGCAGTAACCACATTTCATAGTGTTTATCTGAAGCAGTTTTTGGGGATATCAAATTATTACGTCACCCAGGTTTTCTCAACGGGATTCACACCTAAAAAAACTGATCTAGCCAGACGCCCCGGTTGCGTATGATGTGAGATGATAAGGGGTATCACAGTTGCCCTACCGACTGAACTTCGCATAATTCAGTCACGTGAGAAATTGGATAGAATTGCACACAAGCCTGATACAATCTGCCAGATGTAAAACGGGAAAACATGAGTGTTTCGGCATTTATATCACCGTTTGCGAAACCCTTCCTGGAGTCTTTTAAAAGTCTTGGTGAGGATGTTTATGAAAAATCCTTTCCATTTATTGCTCAACCTGGAAAAGGAATAGAAATTATTTCTAGAGACCCGTATGAAATCTGGGTAAAGTTCCGTGCGTGTGAGGTTTGGTATGTTAAGCTGCTGAGTTAGAGGTGTCCGAAATGAAATCACGTGA